TATAATCAAAGTGTTTATAGGACTCCTTCTAGAGACTCTGAGAAAGAATCTGTCACTGATTCTTGTAGCTTTTAGAAGCCACTTGCATTTCTTGGATCATGGCTCCACTCTCCAGCATACCGGTTTCCAATCTTTCTCTCTGACTCTCGTCTTTACACCTCCCAGTCTTAGAGACTTTTTATGGTTGCTTTGGGCTTACTCAGAATACCTAGAATCATTGCCTTATCTCAGATCCTTAACAGAATCATAGCTGCGGAGCCCAGCCCTTGGGGATTAGGTTTTGGACATCTTGGATGAAGAACATTATTTTGTCTAATACAAATGATTTGCAGCCTTGACTGTGCATTGCAATCACCTTGGAGCTTTAAGAAAATTCTGATAACTCATCTGTTTTGCAGAATCAGTATCTTTAGAATGTCTGGCAACGAAATACAAGTAGCAGTAATTTAAAAACCTCTCTGTGTGATTCCAATGTGTAGTCAAGATTAAGAACCACTGGTTTGGTTTTCTACCTCTATCTCTTACCCTACCCCTCAATTTGCTGTGCATATCTGAATATAACTGGGTGCTTCCAACTTGCAGAGGGATGGTAAAGAGCCCTTGGCTAATAGCAAAGGATTCCAGTATTTTTTTAATTACTTCCACATATGGATTCACTATATGGGATGCTACAGGGACAAGTTAAGGAAAAGCGACTACTTGTAAAAGCAACTTGCCCCTTAAAGGGAGGCTGTTTTTCATCTATTCCATTGTTTTAAGTCAGCAACTGTAGGAGTGTTATTGATTAAAAATGGGATTTGGTTCATATTCCTCAGTCTTCCTTTTGCTAAATAAGCTTGAACTTTAGATTTAGATTGTACCTTCTTAAACTTTCTCTGCATCTTCGTTTTATCATTACTTCCTGTGTGAAATTCCTCCCCATTTATCCTAAGGTTTCCCTTAGTCCTTTTTCCTCAAAATGCATCCTGTTGGCTGCCCATTCCCTGAAGCACTCCAGGATCTGACCCTCCCGAAACACTCAGGTGCTTGACGCTTGGCTATAATGTTCGTTGGCCTTATCTTGAACTTTCATTACTGAATCCCCTTTTATTTGAAATCTTCTCAACCAATATATATATTCAGAGACTCTGAATTACAATTTTATTCTCATGCCATAAGAGTTTTCACAAAGTTGGTGGCCAGTAAATGGCTATTGATAACTTGAAGATTCCATGTGGCCCTGGGAATAGAAATTAACAGCCACTATATGATCATAGCTCCACAAAGTAGTTTAGTACTATATTTGTGTGTCTGTCATTTCTTAAAGGTTTGATTTTGCTTGTTGTTAAGTCTAGCATGCTGCCACGAGGTGTGGGAGGCACAGAAATTATCACTGAATGAATACATACAGACAGGTATACCCCAGCCTACATCCTCAAGTTGTTCCAGGGCACCTTGTACTTCAACACAGCTGTGTAGTGTAAACTGCAGGAACTAGAACCATAGAATTTGTGATTGATTGATTGATTGATTTACTTATTTATTTATGCATACAGAACTGGGGTACAGGCAAGAGGTGCAGAGTGTGAGAGGACTCACCAGGAACAGAGTGGGGAGCAGAACAGGCAGAATGACTAAAATACACTGCTAAGGGGAACAGCAGGTATGTCATGAGAGGTCTGACACACCTCTCTGGCTGGGGATTAAACTCATGCTGCAGTGGCTACTTTAGCTTCACAGTGCTTTAACCAGTTTTATCACCAGGGAGGGCCCTGTGATGTCTTCTTAGTGCTATTTGAAATTAATAAAAATTTTCTCCATCCTACTTGAAACCTGTTAGCTGAGGAACAAAAAATAAAGAATCTAATGTTGTTGAGTTTTACTATCAATATTATGAGTCAAAATAACAAATAAGGTCACCAGAAAATTGAAGGTTCTCCATATACTTTCTCTTTAAAAAAAAATATTTATTTGCATCTTTGTATACTTTCTAATATACTTTACTTTCTTTTATTTCCTAACTGTTTACTGAACTATAGTCAGGTATTTTTATTGTACTAATTTAAGAAATCATTAAGGATTTTTTTACTTGAATTGTGTAAAAAATATTCTCTAAGTCCTTCAAAGTGGAATTGAAATAACTATAAAATGTAATGTTTAGGATGATTTGCCTCTGGCTCCTTTATGTTCACTGCTTTTTACCTTGTGCTTAGAGGTGTGGGGTTGGGATCTGGGGGCTGGTGGGGGTGAATTTATCTAGAATGTTTATCCAGTTTTGTATAAGGGTAATTTAGGGCTTTCAAAAAAAAAAAAATGTAACGCTATCTTATGATATATTACTTATGTCTAATTTTGGATTTAACATTCATAATCATTATTGATAGTGTTAATATTGTAGAAATCTGTAAAAACAAAGTCACGGCTTCTGAAAAGTCATGTAATTTTGTTAGTTTAAGAAAATGACTAGCTGATGCATCTTTTTGCCTTGATGACTCAGAGTCTGTTTCACATCAATAGTTTGAATTTTCAGGTAGTGAGAAACTGATAGGACACTCAACTGAGAAATTAGGATACCAAATTATTAATTATAGCAAAAGTGAGGTGCCCAACCAAATTGTAAATGCTGTGATTTGTATAATTGTATCTTTTCCATGTGTCAGGTTACATGTTGAACCTAGAAATAATTAAATATCCCTTTCATGATTCAGTATAATAGTTGTTTCACAAGATATTGAGTATTTTGAATCCCATTCTCTATATAGGAACCAGAAATTTGCTTGTAGAGTGTGGAAACAGAACTATAGAAGTTAACTAGTGTTAAGTGTTACATACCGTTGAATGTATCTAATTGCAGACAATGAGAGGAAGACCATTCCTCCACTTTGAACTCCAGTGCCAGTCTCTCTCCATCATTAGAATAAATTTGGATCTTGCTTGGAGATCATAAATAGTTAGAACACCTGAAATGTGATGATAATCTGTTTCTTCTTTACACAGCATTTACTTGGTAGCTACCAGCCTTTCTTTCTTTTCTCTATTCTTCAACTAATTGACATCCCTGTGATTAACACTGACTTGCTAAACATTTGATCAATTTATTGTCAAGTGTGACTGGCAGGTGTATTTCTCTACTGGGAGATTTTGTATTATTTTGTTGTTGTTGTTGTTGTTGTTGTTGTTTAAGGGGTGGGGATTGGTTACACTGTAGTTTTGAAGTTTATAAAATAAGCAACAGCTATAGTTTATTGAGTGTTTACTCTGTGCTAGATGTTCCACTGGCCATTTTGTACATGGAATAATGTTCATTCTCAAAAAGTCATAGAAAGTAAATGCTCTTGGCCCTCCCTGGTGGCTCAAAGGGTTAGGACACAGAACTGCAAGCTAGCCATAGCTGCTTTAGTGTAAGTTCGATCCCCAGCCCCAGAGGTGATCCACATGGCGTGGCAGACCTCTCCTGACCCACCCACTACTCCCCTTAGCATTGTACTTTGTCAGTCTGTCTGTTCTGCTCCCCGCTCTGTCTTTGGTGAATCCTCTCACCACCCCTGCACCTCTGGCCTGTACCCCAGCTCTGTATGCATAAAGAAGTAAATTTAAAAAGAAAAGAGAGAGAAAAAATAGGCTCTCACTTTAAAGGTGAGGAAATGAAATAGAAAGATTAAAGTAATTTCACAGTATCACTTAGCAGAATTTGTATTTTAATCCATGTTTATTGATCCTAGAGCCTTTTTTCTACTGTACTGTTATTTCTAAATAAAATGTCTTCAGTACTGAAACACACTTTCTATAAGAACACCAGGATTAGTGGTACTCAGCAAATACTAGATACCACTTACTTGGTGTAATATATTTGAAATTTAAAAATAAGTGATATGGCTGAAGGAAGCAGGATGGTAGCTACTTAATGCCTCTGCCTTCCATTTTGCTCGTCTAGAGTGAGAATGGATGATTCTGTAACACTCTGTCGGGCAAAAAGCATAGCTGTGTCAAGGTCAAATCAAGTTAGGAGTATATGAGTTATTTTTAATTAAAAAAATTAACTCTCCCTCTTCCATTTAAAAATTTTAATGAGAAAGAAGTGAACTTTTTTAACTTAAAATATTTGCCATTTTTAACTTCTGGTCATATTCTCAATCAGATTTGAATACCAAAAAATATATCTTTAATTCATGTTCAGTTATTCAAGTCAAGTTGGCATTGGGTTATCAAAACAAAATGACTTTCTCTTTTGCTTAGTTATTCTAGTAAGTGAGTAGGTCTGATAATCTGTACCTAAAGCTTTCATATAACTGTGGAAATAAAATTGAAATGTCTGTTAACTTCAACTATTTTACTACTTTACAATTTGATACAGAGCTTTATTGCCAAAATCGGGTGATTTGGGGAGGAGTGAGAAGAAAAAAATAAATCCCCAATTTTCAGGTCACCATGCCTGTAAAATACATTCAATTATTAATATGTCTAAAACAAATATCAAACTTTTGTTGGTTGCTCTGAGGTTTGCTTATAACCAATATTTCTACTTATCACAATAATCTTACATTTAATAAGTACAGATTTGTTATAATGGCAATCATTCATTTATTTTGTTTATTTTTGATTAAAGAAATTTTAGATTATTTTTCTTATTTTAACTGCCAACAGTATTTGCTATTCATAGCTGTTCTGTCTTCAATAAAGTCTATCAAAGTGTAAAACTAGATGGGTATTTTTTCTTTCTTTTAAAATGGAATGGTCTTTCATTATGCAGTGTTCTTAGGTGAATTCTCTTATTTAAGAAGCCAGAATACAAGAGAGTGCTATATTAGTGTATTATTCTCACAACAAACAAGCACTGTTCTGTTGCTACCTGCTTGGCCATTGTTTCTGATTGTGTGTGCTTTGCAGTGGTATTTGGATGGTTTCCTGCTCTCTGCCAGCACAAAAAGGCATTTCTGTTACAATGGCCCCTAACCACACAATGACGGCATTAAGGATTTATGTGGAGGTTTCATTATTTTCTCCTCTTTTGTTCCTTCCAGGATGTCTTCCAAGCGACCAGCCTCTCCGTATGGGGAAGCAGATGGAGAGGTAGCCATGGTGACAAGCAGACAGAAAGTGGAGGAAGAGGAGAGTGACGGGCTCCCAGCCTTTCACCTTCCCTTGCATGTGAGTTTTCCCAACAAGCCTCACTCAGAGGAATTTCAGCCAGTTTCTCTGCTGACGCAAGAGACTTGTGGCCATAGGACTCCCACTTCTCAGCACAGTACAATGGTAGGTTTCTCATGGTCTGTTGTGCCTACACTCACTTTTGGACCATTCTGCTACTCAATGAGTTGGACTTTAGTCCTTTGTTTTAAAATTATCTTCTGCTTAATAACCACACACAAGATTCATTCCTAACATCTTAGAATTCTGTATAAGTAAATTGATTGCATTTGGGAGTAGAAGATATCCCCTTTTTTGGATTTCCTTTTTATTTTTCAAAAATTCTACTCTTGAGACTTAATGCAATTAGCAGGAACAAGCAAAATATAAGAATAATGTTAAAGTAATAAGTAATAGGTTGAAAATTAACCAACATGAAAATTCATAATATGAATCTGCGTAATGTTTATGATAAATTTTTTTTTCTAAATAGTTACAATGTAGTCTGAAAATTTCTACTATAATACATTTACTGTTTTTACTTTTTTGTTTTGTTTTGTTTTTGATTTGCTAGGTTGGATCCCAATGTTCTTTGCAGTGCTGGGAACATTATAGACATATTTCATAAAATAGCATACTTTTATAATACGATATAATTCTTGTATAACTCAGCCCCATTCACTCTTCCTTGACAATGAATTAATTCCCTGGTGCATCCTATCTAGAATTTACAATTCAGAATAATTTATCTGGCCCCTTCTCCTGGGGTCTAGATTTACGGAAAGGTTTAGGAACTGTGGATTCATGGATGAGAGAAAAAGGACAGCATAACCTCTTAGCTAAAGTTTAAAGAGCAGAAACACATACACATTAGGCTTTTGCGCTTCTGAGGAATTTAAATACATTTGCCAGCATCTTGGCAAGGTGGAGGGCCACTTACCTGCCAGTAATGCAGTCCCGACCTTCACACCAAGGCTGCCTTGTGTAGGTATCACAGTTTTGTGCTGCCTTTTCCTCTCCTCTCCTCCATCAGAGTTACTAGTGCTGTTAATTTGAAATAGATTACACCAACAGAAATGTTTCATCATACCTTTAAAGACAGCTCTGAGTCTGTTAAATCCTTTTTTTTTTCTTTCTTTAGTAAATTATTACATATGCCAAATGTACTCAATACTGAAATAAATCCACTTGTTCAAGTTACCACATTATTGCATGTGGAATTAAGTCAATAAGATCAGGTATTTCCTAGTAGCTGTGCAATAGAATCTATTCTTTGATAGTCACATTAACCATTCCCATTTAACATTTTATTCTCACAGGTTAGAATTTCTCTGTTTATGTGTATGCCAACATTTCCCCACCAACAATAATGTTTTATCTAGCATTTATATAGCTGTAGTGTTTAAAGCATGTTACCTATATTAACTCATTTAATCAATACATTTTCAATGAGGTAGTTTTTTTTTTTAAAGATTTATTTATTTATTCATATAGAACTGGGTTACAGGCCAGAGATGCGGAGGGTGAGAGGCTTCACCAGAGACAGAGCAGGGAGCAGAACAGGCAGATAGATGAAGTACACTGCTGAGGGGAGCAGCGGGCAGGTCAGGAAAGGTCTGCTGCGCCATGTGGTCACCTCTAGGGCAGGCGGGAATTGAACTCATGTGGAAGTGGCTTAAGATTCTTAGTTCTGTGCTTTTAACCCGCTGCGCCACAAGGGAGGGCCTCAGTGAGGTAGTTTTAATCCCATTTTACAGATAAGGGAACTGGCATGGTGAGGTTAATTACCATTCCTTATCACAGCTCTTAAGTGGGAAACCAAGCTTTCCCATGCAGTTTGGCTTTGCAGTGCATGCTTGTGAACATGTTTAGTTGCTGTCACAGAGGACAGGCATGTGTTATGTTTCTCATTATCAGTTATTTGGGAAGTTAAATTATACTATCCATAAAACCTCCATTCTTCCTCTGTATAAGTATATGTTATGGTACGACTTTCGGTCCCCCTTCAGAAGGCTACAATAGGAAAAAGAAAGGAGAAAGCTTGTAGTACACAGTTCAGTGTGGGCAAGAGGGCAAATGCATGGCTTTGCACCTCTGCACAGGCCTTTACCCACTCAGTGTTAGCTACTGTCTTCTGCCAGGGACTGCTCTCCCTATTAGAGTACTGTTGGGTCTGGTCTTCCTGACAGTGCTAGGAACATAACCCCCCATCTATGAAGGGGTGGGTATAAATAGATATGGGCCAAAAGAATACCACAAAGATAAAGGAAAAATATATCAAGATTAAGTATACTTGAGGATGTATATGAGAGAAGTTTGTTACTTTATATTTATTGGAGTTGGCTTGTGGGGATGCTTGATGCATGGCGGCCTTTCCTTTAGTAAAGCCTTTCCTTTAGTAATAGAAAATTTAGTCTAAGGAAAGAAAACTATGTACTGCCTACTTTGTACCAAGCTTTTTGTTGGCCTGTGTGGAAACTGATTAGACACAACTCTTGTCCTCAAGCAGCATCATCTAGAGCAGCAATTCATAACTGCGGCCCACGGTCGCCTGGTCATAACTGGAGAATTCTGTGTACGCATCTGTGAGCAGGACTGTGTTTTCCCTCAGATTGCAAGTAGATCTGTAACCCAAAAGGGCTGCTGTTCTTGGAGTTCATACAGTATGAATACAAATGATGTGACTTAGTTTTAGTGACATCAGCATTGATATTTTCTCTTACTCCCATTCTGACAGGTTTCTAAATTTGTTTCTGCCTCAAATGTTTCTTGATTCCAACAGCCTTTCATCTCTTTAGTAGACAGTTGGAAGATCCTCCTGTATGATCTCAAGTTTTCAGCCTGTGCTCCTTTTCAGTGTTTCTTTCAACTTCTGCTGGACTTGTTTTCCTGTCAGATCGATTGAGCTATTTATCCCACTTTAAAAGATATTGCGTTTTCATTGCTCACAGGATTTCATCTACAGTTCTTCATTTTGTATATAGAATAGCAAAACCAAAGTCCAGTTTTTGTTTTCTCTCCTATAACATCCTGACACGGATCCAGTATTTCAGTCATGCCAAGTTTTTCATATATGTTCATAATATATACAAGGTGAACTTTGAATGTCAATTTTTTCCCTACCTTAAAAAAGTTCTCCCTTTCAGTATTTTAACTTTCCACAGAATTGTGTCTCTCCTACAAAAGTAAATTCCAAAGTGTTTATTCTGAGATGCTCTCACTGACTTCTCAAGGCAGAAAATAGTTGCTGCATTACTCTTTCATCCACGAGACTTATTTACATCTTTTCTCCTTGTCTGTATTATAATTTGTATAATTGTACATTTGCCTTTTATGCACTGCGTTTCACCTTGAAAATACAGGAATATGGGTGCTTGGAGGGAAGGGTGGTATGGTGACATATCTGAGGAGGAATGAACCAATTCCCTTAAATTGTGTATAGTATTTTAAACCTGTGATGCTTCAATAAAGAAAAAAATAATGTAGAATAGCCATGATATATTCAACTGTAAAATAGATTAAAACTTCTACCCATCCATCAGCATGATTGAATATTTTTGTACAATTGTTCTTGAACACAAATTCTTTTTTTTCCCTTAGTTACAAGGCCATTGTAATATTAACACAGCAGGTTCTATTGTTGTAGGAAAATATGTTTTTTTCCTGTTTAGTAACTTTGAAAACAGGGAGAATGGGTCATGCTCTTTGTATAATAGAGTTCAATATAAGAAAAATGTGTTTCCAGATTTCATTGCCGCTTTATCTGTGACATTCATACTTCATTCTTGAGAGATGTTGGAAAATCTACATTTTGTATTGCCACAAAGTTTAGAGAAAAAATAAAACTGGTGGTTAATCCCCATAATGCTGACTTTACATTTCAGAGAGGTGTTTTCAGTGTATAACTTAACTTGGAAAGTATCTCCTGAGATAAATGTTCTCTACACTTCATGACTATTGCGATGTAAAATTTTGAGAGTTTAGGACCCTTCATATTTAGAGTATGCAAGATTTAAGATTAGGAATTGGTTCAGATATGGATGTGATTCTTCCTTTATTCAGTTATGTTTATTGGCTTAATACTTCAGAAGAAGAAACAAAGTGCCTAGGGACTCCCCAAAAAGCTATCTAGTGGTATTAATACTTCAAGTTCATCTCTTCTTAAAAGGTCTTACTGAGTGCTCTATAAACTGTCAGAGACATATTATATGCATATATTTATTGACAAAATATTATCAAATTTCTAATCAATTAAAGATCAAGTCACCAGTAGCTGTAAGTATGAAAAAGTCTGGTTCTGTTGATTCTTTTTCTGAAGCACTCATAAGCTCACTAAGCAATTGATAGCAACATGTGCTTTATGTGTGAATGGCCAGGTTGGCAAGGCTGATTCAGACAGGAGTGGAAAGGTGACTTGAAGCTTCAGTTGTGTTAAAGGGTGAAATCTGCCCTTCTTGACCCTTTCCCTTTTTTATGCCTGGTTTGGAAGCTGTTATTTTATCTTTCCAAAGCCAGCAATAATTGCTATTTTAAATAATGGCTTTGATATAGTTGGGTTTATTTACGTAGGACTGTCCAAAGAGTGTCCTCTCTTCAGTCTGTCTGAGTGAAGGAATAGATTATGTCTGAAGAGAATCAGGTGGCAGCATTGGAGGTAGCCAGAGGACACTGTGGTGGACATTTTGGTTCTCATTTTCTATCTGGTTGCATGCTACTTCTGTGAGTTAGATTGTTGTTGTTCTAGTGTCAAATGTGATGTGAAATGAAAGTCTGACCACCCGTTGTTACTGAATAATCACTTCTCTCTCTTTTTTTTTTCCCTAACAAAAACTGTACTCTTACCTCAGCCCAATTTTTTTTTTTGGATCCTGTAGTTTCTCTTGAGTTGAGTGAACAGTTTTGTGTAACGAGAGAGTGGTTACTTCCTAAGACTGATTTTTAAAATATGTAGTCATTTATTCTAATAATGCCCTATTTTTACTTTAAAACATTTGGAATAGTTAGAGTTTATATCCAGTAAAAACTGCATTTGTATTTTTTAAACATTAGAAGAATCTCTTGAATTTGGAAATAGGGTGTTATTTTATTGTTTGTATTGATAATATTTTATTGGAATTTTAATGAAC